GGGGGGGGGGGGCCAACATAGACCCCAATACAGTGCGCAGTCCTCATTATAGAGGCTCCCGAACCACCCATCATTTTTTGGACACCCCCCCATGAATGGATGGGTTACACCTCAAGTTATGGCCTTCTTTTTTCTATCCAATGTTCGATGTCTATAAGTTAGGAGGACCCGCCACCCTGCAATAGTGGCATACTAGGAATATAAGGGGGGACTATAGGGTTTGGGGGATGTCATTTTGAAGGTCTGTTTGCGGTATCCTAAACCATCTTTATACAGGAATTCAAGATGGCCTCTTTTCGGCCCCTACATGAAACCTTCCAAGTGGAACCCTGGGGAGAGATTCAGACAAAAACCTATCCAATAGGGTTTAGGGTTTAGGATTTAGGTTTAGGGCTTAGGGTTCAGGGCAGGCTACGTAGGCACCCATCCAGTACCTGTGGCAGCAATACTAGGTTCCCCAGAAGCTAAGGGTACTCTTCTTCCTACTGCTCAGCTCTAAAAAGGGAAACCCCAACATGAAAAGCGGATGCAGGGTACTACTGGAATACCTAGAATGTGTAGGGAGCCTACGAGAATTACCAATCTCCTCTGCAGGTCAGGTGGGGTCCTCACCTGAGATCTGGTTCTATCCACCCCAAAACACACCCCGTAATAGGACACATGCCACATATATCATATAGAGGACTGTTTTGTTTCGGGGGTGGGGGAGGGGGGAAGGTTAATCCTTTAATCCCAATGGGCAGGCGGCTGCGTTGGGTGGGCTGCTAGGTCATTTGGCTTTAGATGTACAGGTCTTCTTGATTGATGGCTTGGGGCGTTGGGCTCAGGCTTCCTCAAGGCTTTGGGGGCCAACTGCTGAAACCCTCGACTACAAAGAACAAGAGCTGGGGTGATGAATCCTGGCACCCCTATAGGTTACATGAGCCATAATCTAAACTTCTAGTACACTTCTTAATAACCCCTACTAGTCCACTATATAATCCCCTATATAACCCTCCTTGAAAACCTGGTGGGGGCCGAATACACACGGGTACCCAAAAACACATTTTTGACACCCTGTCATACAAACAACTAGCTACCAAGAAATTTGTAGTGATGAAGGGGAGAAACTGGAGCCTTGAAGCACTTCAGTAGGAGATGCTAGTGCACGTATATACCCAATTTCTGCAGGGGGATGCGTAAGATTACCTTTCAAACCCAAAATCCTTAAAGCCTGAACCATGAACCCTTCAACGCGAAAAGCCTTGACCTGAAATACCCTAAACCCTTTACCTTCAACCCTAGGCCCTGAACCCCCAAACCCTCAACCCGAACTCCCCTTACACTGACCCTGGGTTAGCTCGGAATGAAAGAATGGATTCTTGTAGTAGTCCCCATATATAACCCATTACAGTAGTTTCCATTGTCTTTTCCATTCCTCCTCCCACCATAAACCCTAAATCCTATAGTAGTTTCCATGTTCTTTTCCATTCCTTCATTCCCCGCCAAACAAAGGTAAGTTCATGGCCGCCTGGTCCAACACATGGCCAAAGCTAAGGCCGCCAAAGACGTAGATGAAGCCGCCCAAGGCAGTAGCGGCTGCCTGAGTGTTGAGCATAGGATTTGAGGTTGAGGGTCTAGGACTAGTGGGCTCAAGGTTGGGGACTTGGGGCTCTGCGTTTGGGGGATAGTAGGTAGTCAATAAAAAACCCGATGCGCATCCACGCGAGGTTTGGGGTTTAGGCGTCAGGGCTTCAGATGCTTTGCAGGGTTTTTGGGGAGTGCCCCCTTTGCGGTTTCAGTTCAGTTTGGGAGACGGTAAGGCTTACCCTGGGTTGCTGAGAAGGATCTTAAATTAAGTTAGTTGAATAATGAAACCGTCTCATTTACTATGTGCCCATATGATGGTAACTTAGTTTAAGTCTCTTAACAGCAACCCAGTTTATTGGTTGAGGGTTCCGAGTTTGAGGGTTCAGGGCAGGGGTCTGTTGTTTATAGGAATGAGTTTGCAGGATCTAGCCGTTTAGGAAAGGAATGGGGTTTCTGAGGTACGGGGGCTATCAGCTTTGCCAAATGCCTCGGCTAGGGAAAAGCTTGGGGGGTTAAGCACTGAAACCGAAACCCTAGAGCAGTTTGGGTTTGCTGGGCTCTGATCCTGAGATTTTTGTTGTAGCCTTGTGTGCCAAGAGCTCAGTGCTGCGAGATTCTGACGGGAAGAGATGTGGCTTACTTCCAATACCTCCAAAAGCTGGAATGAAGCTGGTTTCTGTAGGCTCTTAAAATTATGGTCCACTTTGCGAAACCCTAAAGAGCAGGAGTACAGTAGAAGCTTTATTGTACTAGGAGCCCTGACCCAGAGAGACACCCGCTGAGCCCTGGACGTGAGTGTAGGGGCGGTTCATCGGTGGCAACAACTCCCACCTCAGCTCAAGGGCCCTGGGTCATGCATTAGCATTGTAGTAGGGATGGGCCCGCAAACG